ATTGAACCCCACCAATCATACACTGTGTCCTGGGAAACTTACTCATCCACAAGCCCCGGTTTCTTACTGCAAAATGGGATCATAACAGAACCTGCCTCAAGGAGTGAGCCTGAAGGCTTTTTCTCTATGTAAAATGCTCAGTGCCCAGTACAGAGCAAGATGCTCACAATTATTGCTAACTGTGGTCCTGCGCACAACCTTGTAGTGTGAGTGTTGCCGATTGTGGATGAGTGGCTGGGGAGGTTGGGCTCTGGATGGTTCCTGGATGCTCCCTTCCTCCCTCACTCTCTGGCCTGTGGAGTTACAGCAGTGATCCCCTGTGATTTCACTTTCCTTGATCACAGTTTCCAGCAGCCAGCCACAGCCCAAAAATATTAAACAGAAAATTTCAGAAATAATTCATAATGTTACATAGCATGCCATTCTGAGTAGGGTGACGAAATCACGCAGCAACGTGACTCCTTCCTCTGTCTAGTGTCTCCGCACAGTAGGCGTTCCCACCCATGAGTCACTTCATAGCGCTCTTGGTGATGAGAGAGAAAAAGCCTAATCCACAGAGGTTCGGTACTATGTGGTTTCAGGAATCCACTGGGGGTGTCGGAGGGTAGGCTCGAGGATAGGGAGGGCTACAGTAATTTCCTACCTCCTGTGAGGTTTGCACCAGGCCTCTCTCCTATCGGTGGCCTGGCCTGGGCTCCTGAGACTGCTCCTGAAAGGGAAGGGGGACAGGCGCAGTGGTTCTCGCCTGTAATCCCAGCACTTTGGGAGGCCAAGATGGGTAGATCACCTGAGGTCAGGAGTTCGAGACCAGCCTGGCCAATATGGCAAAACCCTGTCTCTACTAAAAATACAGAAATTAGCTGGATGTGGTGGTGGGAGCCTGTAATCTCAGTTACATGAGAAGTTGAGGCAGGAGAATCACTTGAACCCAGGAGGCAGAGGTTGCAGCGAGCCCCAAGACTGCGCCACTGCACATTCCAGCCTGAGCAACAGAGTGAGACTCTGCTTCGGAAAAAAAAGAAAAGGGAAGGGGACTTTGGGCTCCTGGGAACTGGCCAGGAGACAGGGCAGGGGGACCGCCAGAAGCTCCAGCAAGTAGCTGCGTTCTCAGCTGGAGGAGGGTGGGCTGCCAGCTGCATGGGACTGAGCCCTCTGGGCAGGGGATAGAGGTGGAGCAGCACAGCCCTCACCAGCAAGGCCATCAGTGAAGATCCAGGCTCTCTAGAGAGCACTTTGCGGCGAGCCCACAAGGTGATGGCCAGCCACCCACCCCTCCACACCCCTTGGTCATCCCCAGGTGAGCTAAGTCCCTGACTCTGTCACACCTTTTAAGGCAAAGGCAGCTCCCGCCACCACCTCCCTGTTCCCACTTGCTCAGAAATTCCCAGCAGTTATTTTTTCTTTTTTTCAGGAGGAATGGAATGAGACTCCTTGTTCTGTCACCGTAGGCTTCCGGCAAGGCCTGTCTAGGGGTTCTGGTGAAAGAAAAGTGACAGGAAGCACATGCCAGCAGGCACTTGGAGATGCACCCTCAGTGACATGCACAGGCACGACGGCCACCCCACCCACCACAGGCCTCTGCTTGCGATAGCCAAACACACACACAGCACAGACAAGGCCTAGGGACATGGGGACCCCCAACAAACACACTCCATGCTGGAGACAGGAGATCCAGGTGAGAACGAGGCAGGCACAGGCACAGCCCATAGCATAAAGCCCCTCCCCCCAGCTCATACCTGAGCCCAGGAGCCTCAGGGATTTCGCACTCACTGTTCCCTGCCTCGAGTGTTCCAGCACAGGGCTCTGTGGGTAGGACCCTTGACACCCTTCACATCTCAGAGAGGCCTCCCCTACCCCACCCACATGACTCCATCCCAGTGACCTGTTTTATTTCCTCAGAGCCATCGTCAGCTCTAAACTGCCTTGCTTTTTCTTGAGACAGGATCTCGCTCCGTCACCCAGGCTGGAGGGCAGTGGCGCAATCATGGCTCACTGCAGCCTTGACCTCCTGGGCTCAAGAGATCCTCCCGTAGCAGCCTCCCAAAGTGCTGGGATTACAGGCTTGAGCCACCATACATGGCAGGCAAGAAAGAAGGGCTATGGGGCTGTCAACAGCAAAGGCTCAGCCCCCAGTCAAGCCAGGCTGCCCATGAGAAAGGCTTTCTGTGCACTTGGGCACATGTGAACAGGTATGGGTGTGATGCGAGCCTCCACCTGCGACGTGCAGGTGTGTCCTGAGCTTGGAAGCAGACAGACTACCCCTAGGGGCCTTTGTTCTTTGCATCGTGTCATCCCAACCAAACCCACAACTGGGTACAGAGCCCTGGACAGGCAGCAAGGCCCGGCCAGGATATGTCAGACCAGCAAAGCCTTTCCTACTTGGGCTGGGTGGGCAGCGGGGCTCTAAGCCCAGCCTAAGGGATAGGGAAGGGAGGGGACAGGCTGGGACCCCTGCCCACTCAGCATTCCCATCAGGACCAGATCATACCAGGGAGACAAGAGGCAGCATCCAGAAGACCAGACAACCAGATCTCAAACCCGGACCTTGGGACACTAGGTTGTAAGCCACTCCCGTGACTGCAGGGCATCCTGGGACCCTGCTCAATTCTCAACCCCTGGCAGGGCCCTCTTGCAGGGCAGGTGCCACACTCACCCCCTGGTGGCTCTAACCTGAAGTGCAGCTCGACACCCAGGCCCAGGCTGCAGTCAAGGATGGGAGGGGCTGCAGGAAGGAGGGTTCTGCCTTGAGACCAACTCCAAGCTAAGCTCAGAAGGGGCTGGAGACATGTAGGATGGACAGACACATGGGGGAGGTTCCTGTTGCACACAACTGACCCGCCCCTGCCTCAGGACCCACAGGGTACTTACCCCCTCTGCACCTTGAGAACTTTTTGACACTGTAGTGCTTCACCACACACCCTCACATCCACAGGTAAACAGCAACTATCTCCCGAAGTCCGGGTACCACACCCGCTTCTCCCCAGCCCACAGGCACACCCAGCTACTGGAAAGCCATCCATATAAGCACTTAGGCACGCATGACACGGGCCTGCCAGACACTGTTGGATGGTCAGCTGCTGCAGCTGCAGGCTCTTACCAACAAGCAGCTTAGTGGGGCTGGAGAACAGCACAGCGCCCTGCACACAGCCACAGCAGCTGAGGCCGAGGGATCAGCTTTGATGGCATCGCAAGGGCACTCGTATTCCACACCCTGTCCTGGTAGAGCCTAGATGCAGCAAACACGGGGTCAGCCAAGTGGGTCCAAGAGCCGGGGCCTGTGCTGGGCTTCACTGAGCTCACCAGGCTTCAGGCCAGCTCACAGGGCCTGGAGGCTTCCTTCAGCTTCGCATCCTGGGCTTGAGACTGAGGGCGGCAGGCACTCAACATGGGGTGGGGTACAGGGGCCATCTCCAGTCGTAACAAGGACTGCACCAGCCAAGTTCCAGAAAGCAGACCCCAGCCCAGAAGGGACACAGCCCTGACAGGTTCCAACTAGGCTTCCAGCTGGCTGAGCCTGGGCAAGTTACTTCACCTCTGTGTGCCTGTGCTCATGTTCTCCCAGTACCAGACTTTGGGTGCACAGATTACAAAAGAACCTGAACAAGCCTTAACTGGAAGCCACCCTTCCCTGGATTAATTTAAAAGCAAATTAGCTTTTCAGACAAGGAACAGACGCAGGGTCTGCGTGCACATCAGCAAAGGCGCCGGGGAACACCTAGTACTCCTTGTCTCCTTCCCCTCTCCATAGGACTGGCATCACCGGAGCTGTGCAAATAGCAGAGACCCAACTGCCTACCCCAGGTGACAAACATTTGCACAATGGCCACTGATCGAGGCTGGCTTTCTACAGCTCAGCGGCAGAACCAGGCCGCTTTTACCTCCCTCCAGGGACTGAGGGTGGGGACAGAGTGGGACGTCAGAGGGTAACCAGTGTAGCTACAGAAAGGAGGGCAGTGGCCTTGGGGAGCACAAGGCACCTTGGAGGGCCCCATCTGCCTCCCCAGTCCCAGCTGCTCTCCTGGAGAAACAGGCAGATGTCAGTGGAAAGTAACTTTTATTGAGACCCCACCAGCTACAAAATGTGTTCCTGGCATTAAGCTCCTTCTTCCTTTGCAATTGGGTCTTTCTTGAGTGGTCCCTGTGGGGGGAGGGGCAGTGGTTAGAGGTAGAAGGTTCAGGCCAGCAGATGCCCACTCTACAGGGGACCGAGACTCTGGGCCAGGCTCCACAGCCCCCAGAGGTCCAAGGCATAAAGACCACCCTCCACCCCACCAGGGGCCAAAAGCAGGCAGATGACCAAGCCACCCATCCAGTGAGGGAAGCAGGCAGGAGGTGCTCACCGTGAACGGTTTCTTCTCCTCCATGGTCTGGAAGCGGCCATGGCCAAACTTGGAGGTGCTGTCAATGAACTTAAGGTCAATCTTCTCCAGTGTCCGCCGCTTGGTCTGCACCAGCAAGGACTGTGGGCCAAGAAGGGAAGTGGTTAAGGATTACAAGGAGCCAGGCTTTCCTTAGCCCCTTGGTTAACAGTGCCCCTGAATCTGGGAAGCCACAGGATCACTTCAGCCTCCAAGAGCCCTCCCCCACTGCCAGGCCAATGAGAACACACTTGAAAGAAGCAAACAGCCCAGCAAGGCCGGACTAGGAATTTCCTTATCCCAGGACTTCAAAGGTAGTGTGAAAGGACTGCCAACACCCCTCCTTCCTTTCAACACTCCCGCCACAGGGCTACCAGCATCTGTGGCCTTGTATCCTCCTCCATCCACTGGAGGGCCCCCTACAACCAGGCAGGGCCCGCCTCACCTTGCGGAGGGTGAGCACTCACTTCTTCGTTCCCATCACACAGCCTTTCAGCATGACAAAGTCATTGGTCACTTCACCATAGTGGACAAAGCCACCCTGGAAAACAAGACCATTGGATCAGCACAGGGCCTGCACTAGGCACAAGAGGGGATTGTGCAAGGATGAGCCCTCCAGGTTCAGGCCCTCCTGACCACAGGGCTGTTCTCAGAAGCAAGGCAACAAGAATGGGTCCCCAGTCTGTCTTGGGCACTGTGCCCAGTGCACATTCCAGGCCTCATCACTGAACAGCTGAGCCCGAGACTCCACTGCTCACCAGCCAACCCCAACTGGTGGACTCAGTGACAACATTGCTATTTGCACGGTACACAGCTAGGTGCTGTGCCGGCTTCTGTTAACCTGCTAACAGGCCGTTGGAAGCAGAACACCCGTTACTTACCAGAGTGTTGATGCTCTTGTCAGAAGGTCATAGTCGGTGGAGGCATTGTTCTTGATCAGGTTGCCGTCCTTGTTAAGGTAGCCCTGGCCGATCTTATAGATCTGAATGAACAAGAAGGGTGTCAGGCTGGGGGCATTAGGGACAGATAACCCAGACATGCCAGTGGGGCGATCTGCAAAACACTCTATAGGAAGGCAGCTGAGGCCTCAGTCCCAGCCATGGGGTATTCCAATATCAGAGCAAAAAGGTGGCTGGCCCTCCAGGTTCCCTTCTGTCACATGGCTAGGCTAAAACTAAAGGTCCTGCTGTATAACACAGGAGGCCTCTTGCCCCCTGGTGGTGGGACCAGACACCAGTAAGTCTAGTATCTCCAGCCACACCAACCATCAGCCCACCACAGCCGCTTTACAGGATGGCACCTTACAAATCACTCGAGCCAGAACTGACCCGAGACACAAGCCACTGACGTCTACATGATGCTCATGAGTCAATGAAGAAGTGCTGACACAGAAACCCCAATCGCGGGGTCATCTCCCACCCCAGGGAGCCACTCTCAGAACCTCACCTTCTTGTTGATCTCAGTGTGGTGATGGTAGCCTTTCTGCCCAGCACGTGCCACAGAGAAGGCCACACGGGCAGGATGCCATGCCCCAATACAGGCCACCTTGCGCAGGCCTCGATGGGTCTTGCGGGGCAGCTTCTTGGTGTGCCAATGACTGGTGACCCCTGGAATGGATGCATATTACTGCACCTCAGCGCCCAGCACCTCCCACTGACCCCTTCCCTGCTGGCTCAACAATCATCAACCATGGCTGGGTCATCTGAGGGACAGCGACGGGATTATTTTGTGTGCATTACCCGCAGGTCTCCCCTGTCAAGCTGGATAGGCTCTGGGGTATAACTGAACTGGGTTTGTGAATGGGTGTTTTCAAGGCATCCGTTAAAAGTTCCCATCAGCAGGGAGTGACATAACGCCAAGTTCCCCTTTGCAGTTATCAGTCAGCTACGAAGAGTAAAGGGTGCAGGGACATGGTAAGGTGTCTGCCGGCCCTCCGCTATCCCAGCCACTCCTGACCACAAGGCTGTTCTCAGAAGGAAGGCAGTAGAGAATGGTTCCACAGTGTCTGATTCGGGCGCTGTGCCCAGCGTGCACTCTGAGCCTCATCACCGAACAGCTGGGCCTGAAACCACGTCTCCCCCAGGTTAGGACACAACACAAGCCACTGAAAAGCTCACCTTTGTAGCCTTTGCCCTTGGTCACCCCGATCATGTCAATCATCTCGTCCTGCCCAAACACTTGGTTCACAGGTACCTGCTGCTCCAGCCTCTCGCGGGCCCAGTCCAGCTTCTCGGACACGGTGCCTCCATTGACCTGGATCTCCATCAGGTGGGCCTTTTTCTGGCGCAGAGGAAGCAGGCGCATCTAGGAGGAAGTGGGCACAGCTCAGCTCCAGCTGCCAGCGCTCCTCCCACAGTAGAGGACTGCAGCTCCACACGTCTGATGCCAAGCACATGGCAAAAAGAAGCCAACTCTCAACAAGTCACTCAACCTCTCCAAGACGAAGGAACTTCCATTTCTGCCAACAGTAACAACTTCATTTTGGCTTCTGGTGCCTGAGTTGTCAGGATGAGCCAACGGGGCCCACACGACAGGCAAACAACCAGTTCCCGGCACCTGCCAGCCCCGTGCTCCTGTGGCTGTCCTTCTGGTCAGTTCCTTTGGCATACTGCAGTGGTTTTACCAAAGCCACTTACACTTGCCCTAGTGACAAGCCTGCTTTTTGAGAGCACAAGCTCTGGGTAAGAAAATGCATTTAAGCATAAAGCTTTCGCTTCAGGACAGCCTGGCAGCGTCCTGACAGAACTGCAGGTGGGCAGGCACTCTGTTATCTGTGATGGCCCTCACCACAGGGGGCTGGACTGAGCACTGAGAATTGGCCAGGAAAACAGACAGCCAGAGGCACCTACTCTAACCAAGTCGATAAAGGGCCTGCTCAGCACACAAGCCAGGGTTCAAGGAGAGCAGCCAGCACCTTTCAGTCAGGCATTTCAGTGTACTGGGGAGTCACCAGTTGAGTCAAGCAGTTGAATTTTAAAGGGGGATGCCTCCCTTGCTAAGGACCAGTAAAGACACAGTGCCCTCTCCTGGCAAGGGAGAAGCCTACCCACAAGATCACATAGGTCAACTCCACACAGTGGCAGGCCCAGCCACCCCGTGGCACTGCGCTCACCTGGGTGTGGGCAATGACGCGGATGACTTGGCAGTATTTCTTCATGCTACTGAAGTCCTTCTCCAGCTGCTTCTTGCCATCCTCATCCTGCCATTTCTTGCAGTACTTGGTGAAAGCCTTCTTAGATTTATGCCTTCAGGAGCAGAGCAGAGTTGGGGAGGGAGCCGGGTGCAGGCCTTCATCACCCCTGAGGGGCGTGCCCCCAGCTTTCCGTGGTTCTAAGGGCCCCCTCTGCAGAGGGACCAGGGAGCCCGCCCTGCATCCTCAGGCGCCGCGCTTGAGGGACCCCACAGCTCCGGCCAGGCTGCTTCCTTTGCAGATCATGAAGCTGAGGTCCAGAGGAGGGCAGGGGCAGGTCCTGGAAGCTCCCCAGGCAAAGGGAGCCGAGCTCGAGGCTGGGGTCACAGGGCTCCACTCCTGTGATCTCTAGGGCCCTAGAGCCGGGAGGAGAGACTGGCGGGGGCGCCTTTCGTCCACTGCTGGGGTTGGGCAGAGGCTCAGCCTGTGCCGCAACGCGAAGTTGCTTCTGTGCAGTCCCAGCCGCGGTCCCTTTAAGAAGGGGTGGTGCTTCAGCCAGTCGCTAGGGACGCTGCCGGCGTGCGCGCCTCTACGGAAGCCGAGACGGCGCTTTCCGCGGGGCCCCGGCAGAAGCCGCGGCGTGGTTGAAGCGACCGAAAGCTGCGGCGATGTGGTCGGAGCGAGCGAAAGCGGCGGCCAGTGTCTGGGGGGGTAGTCCTAGTGGGCAGAAGCGCAGTCGACGTCCCAGCGAGCAGAAGCGACCGCGCTGTCCCAGCCGGCAAAAGCGGAGGTCGCGTCCCAGCGAACAGAAGTGGCGGCGTCCAGAAGCGGCCAGCTTCGGAGAAGCTGTGGTGGCTTCCAGGTGATGGAGGAGCAGGAGGGACGCTTCCGCAGTAAGTGGCGGGGCATGGACCCCCCCGGGAATCCTCCGGGCCTCCCTGCTCCTTCCCCACCGCTCGCTTTTGGGCCCTGACTCCTTGTGGGCATCTGGGCCCCAGTAGTCTGCGTGGCGGTGGTTGTGGGGTCCTGGCCGCCGCAGCGTGCGCACCCTGGCCGGGAACGGTGTGCGACCCGCGTCCGGCCTATAGGAGCACCTGGCCCAGAGGCCGCGGTGAAGCGCGGGACCTGGGACCCTCCGAGCCCCCGGCCCTCTGAGCTGAGGTCCAGGGTTATTTTGATGTTTCAGGACCTTAAGAGAGAGACCTCGCTAGAACCCAATAGAACAGGTGACATTTGTAGTGTGAATTCTTTGAGGAGTCTCCAGGTAGTTCGCTGTTTTCCGTAGTGTCTATTCTGATTTTCATTTACAGTGTATGAGTTCCCTTTTCTTCAAAACCATACCCGTGTTCCTTTTTTTTTTTTTTTTTTTCCTTTGGAGACAATCTCGTTCTGCCCCGGCCGGAGTGCAGTGGTGCCATCTGACCTCACTGCAACCTGCGCTCCCGGGTTCAAGCAATTTTCCTGTCTCAGCCTCCTGAGTAGCTGGGACTACAGGGGCCCGCCACCACGCCAGGCTAATTTTTGTATCAGTAGTAAAGACGGGGTTTCTCCATATTGATCAGGCTGGTCTCCAACTCTTGACCTCAGGTGATCTGCTGCTTCAGACTCCCAAAAGTTCTGGGATTACTGGCGTAAGCCACCGAGCCTGGCCTCTCCTATTTTTGAGACTTTCTAGGGATATTTAATAAGTGTGAGATTATCTGTGTGTGGGTTTCAATTAAACCACACACAGTTAATTAACTTTGTTGGATAGTTAATTTTGAGGACCTTTTATCTGTTGTTCGATTTTCTGTCGCAGAATTAATTGTCTGTTCAGGTTTTTTGCGAAATACTAGATTGTTTTGCTACTTTGTAGTGTTTTTTTGTGTACACCTTAGATGACAACTCGTGAATTACATGACTACCTGAAATTTTTGCCTAATCTATAGGATACTTTTTTAATTTGGAAGGTAGTTTCTTTGCCGTGCAGAAACTTTTCAGGTTGATGTAGTCCATGTTTATTTTTGCGTTTTATGCATGTAATTCTGGTCACCCATATAAGAAAATACTTATCAGTGACAAAGCGTTTAATTGTCAAGGAGGTTTCTCTTCCAGGGTGTTTGTTTCTTTCTCTCTTTGCAAAGGTGAGCAGAGAGTCACGTGACCCAGAATATATGCTCAACCTGTGTTTTAGTTAAAAACCTTTTGTGGTTTATGGTCTTTTTTTCTGGTCTTTTGGGTTTTTTTTGTTTTTTTTTTTTTTTTAGTAGAGACAGTTTCACCATGTTGGCCAGGATGGTCTTGATCTCCTGATCTTGTGATCCGCCCGCTTCGGCTTCCCAATCTTTCTCTTATTTATTTTTTTTGAGATGGAGTCTGCCTCTGTCAGATCTTGGCTTACCGCAATCCTCTCAGGATCAAGTGATTCTCTGGCTTCAGGCTCCCAAGTAGCTGGGACTACAAGTGCATGCCACCATACCCAGCTAATTTTTGTACTTTTAGTAGAGATGGGGTTTTACCATGTTGGCCACCTGGTCTTGAACTCCTGACCTCAAGCATACGCCCGCCTCCTCAGCCTCCCAAAGTGCTGGAATTACAGGCTTGAGCTACTGTGCCCTTCTTAAATTACACTGCTTTCTGTTGGAGTCCAGAGACTAAGTTTGATACCTATCATTACTGGGCACCTTTGTACATCTATCTGTTCATTTAATTCAAATAGTTACTGAGAACCTACCAGGAACCAAGCTCTGTTCTAGGGACTGGAGATATGGAGGTAAACAAAACAGACATCCCAGTGAGAGGAGTAAAATCTAAAGAAAATCAGTTAAGTAAAATATATAATATGGACTGTGCACGGTGAGGCAGGTGGATCACAAGGTCAGGGGTTCAAGACCAGCCTGGCCAAGAGACCAGCCTGGCCAATATGCTGAAACCTTGTCTCTAAATTTTGTAAAAATACAAAATTTAGCCCGGTGTGGTGATGGGCACCTGTAATCCCAGCTTCTCAGGAGGCTGAGGCAGGAGAACTGCTTGAACCTAGGATGCGGAGGTTGCAGTGAGCTGAGATCACGCCACTGCACTCCAGCCTAGGCAACATAGTGAGACTCCATCTCAAAAAAAAGAGACAAAAACAAAATTAGCCAGGCGTGCTGACAGACACCTGTAATCCTAGCTACTTGGGAGGTTGAGGCAGGAGAATCACTTGAACCCAGGAGTCACAGGTTGCAGTGATCCAAGATGATGCCATTGCACTCCAGCCTGGGGGACAAGAGCAAAAACTTTGTCTCAGAAACAAACAGGCTGGGTGCAGTTTCTTAAGCCTGTAATCTCAGCACTTTGGGAGGTCAAGGCGAGCAGATCACCTGAGGTCCAGAGTTCAAGACCAGTCTGACCAACATGGAGAAACTCTGTCTCTACTTAAAATACAAAATTAGCTGGGCATGGTGACAGGTGCCTGTAATCCCAGCTACTCGGGAGGCTGAGGTAGGAGAATCGCTTGAACCCAGGAGGCAGAGGTTGTGGTGAGCTGAGATCGTGCCATTGCACTCCAGCCTGGGCAACAAGAGCAAAACGCCATCTCAAAAATAAGTAAGTAAGTAAATAAATAAATAACAAAAACTGGCTGGGTGTAGTGGTGCATGCCTGTAGTCCCAGATAATTGGGAGACTGAGGTGGGAGGATCACTTGAACCCAGGAGGCAGAGGTTGCAGTGAGCTGTGATTGTGCCACTGCCCTCCAGCACCCTGGGTGACAGAGACAGACCCTGTCTCCAGATATTAGGTTGGCACAGAAGTAGTTGCAGTTTTTGCCACTGAAAGTAATGGCATTGAAAGTAGTGGCAAGCCGGGCGTGGTGGCTCATGCCTGTAATCCCAGCACTTTGGGAGGCCGAGGCAGGTGGATCACAAGGTCAAGAGACTGATACCATCCTGGCCAACATGGTGAAAAC